CAAACTCTTATCTGGCTTCTTTTTTTTTTTTTTTTTTTTATAGAGGCATGTTTTATTTATTTATTTGTTTGTTTGTTTTGTTTATACATGCACTGGGTACAGTCAGAAGAGCGGGAGGGTGAGAGAATTCACCAGAGCCAGAGCGGGGAGCAGAGCAGGCAGAAGGACCGAAGTACACTGCTGAGGGGAGCAGCGGGCGGCAGGAGAGGTCTGCGCACCATGTGGGACCCTCCTCCGGTGGCCGGGGAGCAGCCGGGGATCGAACCGGCGCCGCAGAGGCCGCGGGCAGCTTCGCAACCCAGCGCCCAACCGCTGCGCCACCAGGGAGGCCCTTATCTGGCTTCTTATATGAAATTCTGTAGTTACCTTAATACAAAACAGAGGTTGATTATGAAGGCAAATGTAAAATATTTCTGCCACTGGAAGGGACTAGCCTCCCTTTATAAATTAGTAAACTAATAATATTGTGGTTTGCACAACAGACTTTGAAAAGTTCTGCTAGCTAAGCTAATCCCCCTCATTTATTTGTATTCTGAGAGAATGAAAACTCAAGCCGTGCAAAACTATGTGCCAAGATGCTGCACTCAGAGACTTTAGTCAAGCAAAGCTGTCCTGAGTCTTTCTCCCTACATGATGCTCCCTTCTCAGAAACAACCAAGTTTATCTACTGTCTTATGGTCAGGAGCAGCAATCACACAAGGTCCTGAAAAAAAGTAGTTTCTACTTCACAAACACATAATTTGAGTGATTAAATCAATGTTTTCCATACGTAGCTCAAAGACCAAAAGATTAACACCTTTCAGTATCCTAATTTTAAAGATAAAATATATGTAGTTTCTTTTTCTCGCTCCTGAGACATGAAAAATATCTATGAAATAATATGAATAAGGAGAACGTTTTTGAGAAATACAAAAGAGTAAATTGCATTTTAACGCGTGAACTACCTGAGATTAAAACCACACAGTCTAGCAGTCTAGGATTTGGTAGCGTTTCTTGGATATGACACCAAAGGGCATAGGAAACAAAAGTTAAAAAAAAAGACAAATAGGGCATCCCCGGTGGCGCAGCGGTTGAGCACTGGGTTGCGAAGCTGCCCGCAGCCTCTGCGGCGCCGGTTCGATTCCCGGCTGCTCCCGGCCACCGGAGGAGGGTCCCACATGGTGCGCAGACCTCTCCTGCCGCCCGCTGCTCCCCTCAGCAGTGTACTTCGGTCCTTCTGCCTGCTCTGCTCCCTGCTCTGGCTCTGGTGAATTCTCTAACCCTCCCGCGCTTCTGACTGTACCCAGTGCATGTATAAATAAACAAACAAACAAACAAATAAATAAATAAACATGCCTCTATTAAAAAAAAAAAAAAAGACAAATTGGACTTCAGGGAAATTTCAGAATTTTATGCATCAATAGACTGTACCTAAAGGGTAAAAATCCAGTCCACTGAATGGAAGAAATATTTGCAAAGCACACATCAGTAGATTAATATCCAGAACATAGGTGTCACTTACATGTAATATAGAGGAACAAAAGGGTCAGATAAAGCCAAATTCAAAAACTGGCCCTTGAAAGCAGACTATAGAACTGAGACTGTCAGAGGGGGAGAGGAATGGAGAGGGACAAGCACAAAGTAGAGAGCAAGCACGATGGATTCTGGGTGCTTTGGTGGTGGGAGCAATGTAACAGTGCCAGAAGGGGGCATCCTATGCTTCCAAAAAAAAAAAAACCAAAAAAAAAGACAATAATGTAAACCAACATTACCTCAAAAAATATATTTTTGAAAAATATTCAGGACATACAGAGAACTCCTAAAATTCAGTAACAAATTCAAAATGGGCAAAGGACTTGAATACATTTCTGCAAAGAAGACAAATGGCCAATAAGCTCATGGAAAAATAGTCACATCACTAATCTCTAGGGAAATGCAAATCAAAACTACAATGAGACATCACCTATCCCTTCTCACTGACTAGAATGGCTGCTACTATGAATAAAATAGAAAATAACAAGTGTTGATGAAAATATGAAGAAACTAGAACATTTGTTGCCCCTACCCTATTGGTGGGAATTGTAAAATGGCTCAGCAGCTATGGAAAACAGTATGTTGATTACACAAAAAATTAAAAAGGGAAATTCTGTATCATCTAGCAACTACACTTCTGAATATACACCCGAAAGAACTCAAGCACAGTCTCAAATAGCTATTTTTAGGCCACATTATTCACAATAGCTAAAAAACAGAAGCATCCCAAGTGTCTACTGCAGGATGAGCAAAATGTGGTGAATACACACACATTTTGGAATATTATCCAGCCTTATAAAGGCAGTTAGTTCTGGTATGCTACAACATGGATGATCTGACGACATTATGCTAAGTGAAGTAAGGCAGTTACAAAAAGACTTATTTTGTATATTCTCACATAAGAGACTTAAAGTAGTCAAATTCATAGAGACAAATGTGAATGGTGGTTGCTGGGGTCTGGGGGGAAATGGGGCTTATTATTTAATGGATATAGAATCTGGATATTATAAGATGGAAAAAGTTATGGAGATGGATGGTGGTGATGGCTGCATAAAATTATGAATATATTTAATACTACTAAACTGTACACTTAAAATGGTTAGATGATAAATTTGCTATGCCTATCCTACCACAATAAAAAAAATTGGGGAAAAACACCCACAAAGCAGAACAGCCCAAGCATGTTGATGAATTTCACTGCGGCCTACCTACTTCAATAATTCTGCAAGGGGTGTAACAAAATCACCTAAGGCTCTGGATTTTTTGGTATTATCTTTTGAGGTAATGGTTTACAACACTCTATTATGATTTAGGGGTATAGATTCACACCTCTTCAGATATGTTACCACACCATTCCCACCACCAAAGCACCCATAAACCTCCACCCACAGCCCATTGCCCCCCTCCGCCCCACCTTGCCTTTGGATTTCTATCCCCCATCCTCCCACTCTGGAAGTCTCAATTCTAGTCAGATTTCTAGGATTTGTTTAGCAATTCCACACCTATGTATCAACCTGAAGGAAGCAAAAACACAAATTCAAAGGGATATGTGCACTGCTCTGTGCATTGCAGCTCTCTTTACAACAGCCAACCTATGAAAACCACCTAAGTGCCCCCAAGCAGATGAGCAGATAAAGACATAGTACATATACATGATGGGATACCACACAGATACAAAAACAGATGAAACCTTGCCATTTGTGACAACATGGGTGGAGCTGGAGATGAAATGCTAAGGGACATAAAAAAGAAAAAGACAAATGCCAGTTGGTTTCACTCATCTGTGGAATATAGAGAAACAAAATAAGGAAACAGACAACTAAAACCAACCAACCCTAGAGGTCTTTTTTTAAAGATTCACAACCTGGGTTTAAATTATTGCCACTATGACTCACTGTTAGTGATGGAAATGTGTCATGGCCTTCAGGTATGAAGGGGAAGAGGAAACAGACAAAAATTATTAACTTGTTACCTAAACCCATTTTTTTCCTTAACGAAAAAAAAATTTTTTTTAAATGATTTATTTTTATAGAGGAGCTGGGGTACAGGCCAGAGATGTGGGAGGGTGAGAGGATTCAGCAGAGGCAGAGCAGGGAACAGAACAGGCAGACAACCAAAACACACTGCTTGGGGAGCAGCAGGCGCGACAGGAGAGGTCTGCTGCGCCATGTGGGTTTCTCCTTGGCTGGCTGGGAATCGAACCTGCGCTGCAGAGGCTGCAGACAGCTTCATAGTGCTGCGCTCAACCCGCTGCACCACCAGGGAGCCCCGAAAAAAATTCTTAAGAAAAAATTTTAACTCCCTCAGCATTCAAAAATGAACAAGGAATAGGAACCCCTCATGCACTTATTGTTGAGGCCTATTTTTTGTAGGTCCTAAACTCAGAAAATGAATTAAAGAGATATAAGGCAGGCTCTCTCATATTTCTCTTTTCTATAATGAGAAATGCAATATTTTTTTTTTAAAGAATCATTTATCTATGTATACAAGCACTGGGTACAGTCAGAAGCGCAGGAGAGTGAGAGAATTCACTAGAGCCAGAGCGGGGAACAGAACAGGCAGACTGACGAAATACACTGCTGAGAAGAGCAGCAGGCATAGCAAGAGAGGTCTGCGTGCCATGTGGGACCCTCGCCAGAGGCCGGGGATCGAACCGGCGCTGCAGAGGCTGCGGGCAGCTTCACAGCCTAGCGCTCAACCGCTGCACCACCAGGGGAGGCCCTGCAATAATTTTTAAACTTTGTACTAATTATGTATAATCTAGTATTATCTCTTCCTCAAGAAGATTCTGGCTCTTACCACTTGACTCCCAATTTAAAATTTAAAGATCACAAAGATGAACAGAGACAAAATAGCTAAAAAAATTCAAGTTAAAATAAAAAGCAAAGGCTACAAAGACAGTAAGGCAATAAGCTATTGTTAAGAAAGAGCTATTGTTGGGCCTCCCTGGTGGCACAGCGGTTGAGCGCTGGGTTGCGAAGCTGCCCGCAGCCTCTGCAGCACCGGTTCGATCCCCGGCTGCTCCCCGGCCATCGGAGGAGGGTCCCACATGGCGTGCAGACCTCTCCTGCAGAGCCCGCTGCTCCCCTCAGCAGTGTACCTCGGTCCTTCTGCCTGTTCTGCTCCCCGCTCTGGCTCTGGTGGATTCTCTCACCCTCTCACACTTCTGACTGTACCCAGTGCCTGTATAAATAAATAAATAAATCTTAAAAAAAAAAATTGAAAAAAACAAACAAAAAAAAAGATGTGGGTTTAAAAAAACAAGTCTGTGGATGTGACAGTGGGAAGTTGAAGAAAGTAGCATTGAATGTTTTTCACAGAGTCAGCTGACCAAAGAAATGAAGTAATTCTGCTAGCTAGACAGAGTCCAGTGATCATGAGGCAACAGTGGCTCCTTTCTACCCAGATCTGTGACTTTCAGGTCAGGGACGTAGCACACTTTGCCTATTTTCTTCAGCTGCATTTAATTATTTGAGCCTCTAAAGGCTTTGTCCACATCTCAAAAACTGTGTTTACTATAATTTGGCATTATATTTTTTCCCTACTAGGACATAAAACCCCTCAGTAAAGTGATGGCTTCTTCACACTGAAAGTACCTAGTTTTTGAATGAAGTACCACACAAATATTTTTGCATTTATTAAATATATCAAGTGACTCACTGAAAAATTGACTTGTTTCAAGAATAAGACAGCATACATTGTATAATCAAGACATTGAACACCCAGAAATTAAAGGACAATTAAGAACCACAACCACCCAAATTTATCTGTTACATAAATTTAGTCCTATCATGAAGGCTAGGTATTTCTGGTCATCCTACTTAAAAACTAAAGAATGGTGGCCCTGAAAATTGATGAGAAAAAGGAAATGAATACTTAGTAATCATCATCATCTGCAAGACATACCTCATTTCAGTGATGTAGCTCAGAACTGAATCATACCATCAGGCCATCTGAGAAGACACACAACTTTCTTTCTAGACCTCTATTGCTGTTGTCAGGGTCCTATAATTTAATGTAGTCAATCTAGTTATATATGTTAGTTGTATTAAATAATAGCTATTTTATAGATATTTTATAGGTGAAAATATTTAAAAATCCTAAGTACCAAGTGAAAATAACTCTCTACTAGGAAATTACTGAAAATCTAGGCAGCAGTCATTTTCAGACAATTCATCACCCACGAAACAAATTTTGGAGGACTACATTAACTTTTACTATACATTTAATCTTAATTTTCTATTTCAACATAGTACTTGATATGCATCTACTTTTCCTTTAACTCACTGTTTCAGCCAAAACCACAAGTATTTGAAATTAAATTTGAACAAGAATTATAGCTTACGCCTGTCCCAATGTGTCTATCTAGACAGAAGAAAAGGCAAAGAAAAGAGGAATTCACCTTTTTTCATATATCACTGATGACCTCGGATATCCCATCTTATCTTCTGCCCTCAAACTAGGATTTATGCTATCAGCTCCCTTGGTTGTCAGGCCTGCAGATTCAGACTGAATTACACTACCAGCTTTCCTTCATCTCCAGCTTGTACAGTGGGTGGTGAGATTTCTCAGCCTCTGTAATCAAATGAGCCAATTCCTCTTGTCAAGTGTGTATGTGTATGAGAGAGAGAGAAAGAGATCTCCTGTTGGTTCTGTTTCACTGATGAACCTGGGCTTATATAGTGTTCTCATAACTATTATAGATAGACATTTTACTGGCACTTCCCTTATAACACCCTACTAAAAACCTAAAGGAAATATACTTTTTTGAAATCTTAGTATTACATAAAAAGTTGAAATTTATTGCAATAGTTCTGAAATCCTTCATAAAAAATTATTTGATTAAACACACAGTGGAATTTTCAGTTTCTATCTGGCTGTTAAGGACATTAGTATCAGAGAAATTCACATTACTGTATTTAAACAGTTCAGGTTATTTTCAGATTACAGTTTTATAACATATGTTCAAAATCCCACTGGTTCCTCCTTGGCAGTCTGATAAGAGCTGGAACTGATATATTTCAAAGGTAATTTCTCTAGGAGTTCTCCTAACAAAAATCATGCAAAACCAACTGAAAGTCAAATAATTATATTTTAATGTGGGCAACAGTTATTTAATTATATTAGTATTAATTCAAAAGCTTATAAATAGGCTGCTAGGGATTGGCGGATTGGCACTATGTCAACTATCAACATGAATCTTTCCATTGCTTTCTCTGGCCACCCAGCAACATTTTGATTTCCTTCTCCCATTACAGGTAGATAAAGGTCAAAAATGCCTAAGCAAATACAAAGAAGTGATGTTTGCACAGTATTTCATTTTTATTAACAGCTTCTAATGTTTTTCTCAAATATGAGTGTTTCTTTTTATATTTCCATGTAAAGTAAAAATCATTTGTATTAAGTACTTCTTCACCTGAAAAAGACTTAAGTAAACAATAATTAAAATATTTGGTATTTTAGTTGTATCTATACTTCTCTAACTGAAAGGTCTTTTCATGACAAGGTTTTCCTTTTATTGCTTTATTTACTTGGGATTCTAAGACATAACAAACCAAGAGGTCATAGCTTTCCCTCAAATTACACATATTACACATATTGTAAAAGTACTATTAAATAAAATAGTTAAAAATTGAATTAAATATGACTACATATATTTAAGAACTGAAAGGATTAATAGAACACAAAGAAACCAAGTAAGTTTCTAGAGTTTGAAAACCAATAAAGCCTATTATTTATTCTCTAAAAGCCAACAGACTTATTTCTTTGGTAGCTATTAAAGTAGGCATGGCATTTGCGGAGGATTTTTAGGACAGTAATACTGGTCTGTATATTACAATGGTCACTACGTGTCAGCATGTATTTGTTAAAACTCATACAAAACAGAACATCGAGAATGAATCCTAATATGAACTACAGACTTTGGGTGATAATGATATGTCAAAGTCAGTTCACTGACTTTAACAAAAGTACCACATTGGTACAGGATGTTGACTGCAGGGAAAGACAGGCATATGCGGAGGTGGGGTGGATATGGGAAATCTCTGTACTTTTCCCTTCAATTTTGCTATAAACCTAAAACTGCTCTAAAAATAAGCAGTTATTGACTTAAAGATTCAAAACATTACTACACAAAGTGATTTCTCAAAAAGTCCATGCAAGTACTGACCAATACGCCATTTTCCACAACCCCAATAGGTGCGTGCGTATTTTTCAAAATGCGCAGTGCCAGAGTATACCTGTCAGTACCATCAGTATACTATAAAATCCAGGCAGCAGAAGTAAAGGAGATGTAAAGGACATGTTGTCACTTGAGAAGGTTGTAGCTAGGAAAAGGGGAACAAAGTGTTTAATTGGGAAAATTATAATGAGATACACAGGACATAGGAACTAGAATGGAGAGGGTATGCTTAAGCTACAGCAAGGCACCTGTGAACTAAAATATCACCATCTATTTCTTGGCATGTGTGGGACAAATGAAGAGAGAAAAAACATGGAAGTCTATGAACACAGAGTGCATGGTCTACACTTAGTCACAAAAAATAAAGACATATTTTCCAAGGGATAGCATTTTTTGTTTCTTAAAAAAAAAAAAAAACCTATTCATTTTGGTCATCATTTTTATGACAAATTAAACTGAAATTATGCGCAAATACTGAGTCCTAATGAGTACCTAAAAAAAACTGCAACGGAAAATATTTATTTGCCACACAATGATACCACGTAACACCATAGGAAGTGATATTGTGGCTTATAGCGCAATAAAATATAAAAGCCTTAAAAACAAGGCAGTGATTATCATGAAACATTCAATCTGCCATTAAGGCTCATTTAATTCTGCTAATTAGGATGGGCCATATGGGTGATAAATATTATTTCAAATCCAAATGAAATAAGAAGTGAAATATTTGAGGGAGGAAAACAGCAAAATGTGTGCATACTGGTATCAATTACACTTCAGCATCTGGCGTTCTCCTTTATTCTTGCCAAAATACAGTTTTCTATTTCCAAGGTTTCTTGGAGGTAAATAACTTAGAAAGTGCCAATGTGATGCTTTATGTATAAGAAATGATAATCACTGGGCACAAATTTTCCCCAAATATAAAAGAATTGCAGTTGTTGAATTTTTGCCTTCTGAGAATATGGAGTAAGAGGTAAAGAGTGGAGTCGAGATCTAATCAATATTGACTAGCATTGAATCAGTCAATAGTAAAGTCTTCTTAATGTCTGATAGTAATAACAGACTCGGAATACTAGCTTTTGAATATCTAGGAAAAGCTCACAAATAAACCACAACATAGCAATCAACTACGTATGACTGATATTCTCACTAATTTAATTTTATAATTTATTTGCCCGAGTAATACTACCCCTTTATTTGATTGCCTGTTTTCGCAGTTTCTTTACTTTGGATCCCAGACATAATTCATCCCATTTTTTTTAAATCAGGTTTAATTTTCTATCAGATGGATTGTATACTACAATTATGGTCTCCATAAATGAACTGATAAATATATTGACTTGTCACTTCTCATGGTAGCAAACTGAAATCATAAGTCTTCTAAAAGAAAGTCAAGGTCTTCACCAAATTAATGTGTGAAGTCTTCATGATGGATTTAATTTGTGCCATTTGACAACAACTTTTTCTGGATTTGTAATTGTCTCTTTCCACTGGTTCACTGCTTCCATGTTATTACTGTGTTCACTTATCCAAATCTGCAAAGAAACAGTACAAATATTTAACTTGACACATGATGATAACTGAATTCTGTTTATTACTTTTGTCTTTCATCAATAAAGAAGTTCCAACCAGTTCTATTAAAACAAAACATCATACATAGGAGATGTGATTTTTGTAGCAACACTAAATTTTAATTTATAATGAAGAATTTTACTCTATTAAACTTTAATTCTATTCTATATTTCCACTGTTAAACCAACTGTTAATATGCATAGAAAAGCACAAAGAAAGAATTCAAGATAAAAATTCCCTACTTACCTGGCCCACAGACTGTTTTCTTCTTACAGAGCTTCGACTATAAAGCTTAATGAGAAAAATAATTTCTTTTTCATTCTGTGTAAGTGGAAAAATCATAGTCTCTCCCCACTTTACTCTTCCACTGGAGGCCTTCAGTAAGCGAGTCTTCTTCTTATAAATCAACTCTCCTGAGCTAAACATTGCCACTTTCACAAAAAAACCTTAAAAAAAAGAAGAAATTTACATATAAGATTTTATTTAAGACACCATATATTGTATTTTATCTATCTATTGTTTGTTGTAAAAATATAAATAAGGCACTTCTAAAGATCTGATGAGTGGGACCTCCCTTGTGGTGCAAGGAATTAAGGTGCAGCACTATGAAGCTATATGCAGCCCCTGCAATATGAGTTCAATCCCCGGCCAGGGAGGTGACCCACATGGCACAGCAGACCTCTCCTGTCTCGCCTGCTGCTCCCCTCAGCAGTGGATTTAAGTCAATCTGCCTATTCTGTCCCCACAGTGTCTTTGGTGAATCCTCTCACCACTGCCCCTACTCCGCCAGCCTATACCCCAGTTCTTGTATGCATAAATCTTTTAAAACATTAAAAAAAAACTTAAAAAAAAGATATGATGAGCTATTGTCATAACAGTAAACATCTCTAGTAAACTTTTTGATTTTTATTACACTTTACAAATGTCTACTGTAAGTGCAAGTGAATTTAATTTTCCTCTATCCTATAATGCCAATAAAGTCTGGAAATGTATGATAAATAACAATGAGCAGCAAAGAAGTACACACTAAAAATGACCACACAAAAGAGAGGTACCAACACTTCAGGCAGCAGGAAGAATTTATTTCACAGTTTTATATAGGTAAAATTCTTTGCCTGAGACTTCAGTAGTAAAACATATACCTGCCAGAGAAAATCTGTTCTTTAAAAAAACTTGAGATGTGGAACTTCCAGTAATGGTAACTGGTACAACAGTTTACATAAATGAACCCTCCTATAGATAACAATGACGAAGCATAGAAAAAATTATTAAAAACAATTGGTGAAGACACTAAAGCGTGACAAAAAAGCAGGAAGAATTTGGAGAAGGGTCAACTCTTAAAAGATGGACACTACACCAGATTTATACAGCTTTATCAGATTTATACAGCTTTTAACATAAGCTCATCCCCCATTTTATTGACACACAGTGCCTACCGTCAAGTAGAATGCACAAATTAATTTGAGCAGTCAGAGGATTGAGCTGGGACTACTAACAATTGTCAGAATGTAAGGAGGGAACTCCCAGGAAGGAAGCATCCACAAAGTGTGAGGACTAAGTCTGAATGTTAAAAATATAAATGGAGATCACTAGTAAACCTGATTAGTTTTTGTTACAGGAAGACATGTAATATAATCAACTGCATCCAGCAGTCTCTACTGTTGTCCTTATTTCTTAGAATTAACTCTGCGCACTCTTAGTAATTTACTCGTCAAGTTGGCCCCTATTTGCATATTTGTTATCTTAGGATTATTCCATCTGTCTACATAAGTGCTAAGTAGTCCACAGGCATTTTCTGTATGTGCTATCCTTTCTATTTTGATATCAAGAGTAAGTTAACCTCATAGATTACATTTTACATGCTCTGGGACAGCTTATATAAAAATTGTATGTGCCTTTAAAGTTTGGTAGAACATGGCACTAAATCATCTCAGCCTGCTGTTTGTCTTTTCTTTTTTCTTTTTTTTTTTTTTTTGTTTAAAGATTTATTTATTTATTTGTTTGTTTATACATACAAGCACTGGGTACAGTCAGAAGCACGGGAGGGTGAGAGAATTCACCAGAGCCAGAGCGGGGAGCAGAGCAGGCAGAAGGACTGAAGTACACTGCTGAGGGGAGCAGCGGGCGGCAGGGAAGGTCTGCGCGCCATGTGGGACCCTCCTCTGGTGGCCGGGGAGCAACCGGGGATGGAACTGGCGCCGCGTAGACTGCGGGCAGCTTCGCAACCCAGCGCTCAACCGCTGCGCCACCGGGGAGGCCCTTCTTTTTTCTTTTTTTTAAAGATTTATCCATCCATACACACAAGAACTGCGGTACAGGCCAGAGGCGTGGGGGTGAGAGGAATCACCAGAGACAGAGTGGGGAACAGAATAGGCAGACTGACTGAAACATACTGCTGAGGGGAGCAGCGGGCGAGTCAGGAGAGGTCTGCTGTGCCATGTGGGCAGCTCCCTGGCTGGGGATCCAACTCGTGCTGCTGAGGCCGCGGATAGCCCCATAGGCTGTGTCTTAACCCCTTGCACCACCAGGAAGGCCCCCCTGCTGCTTTTCTTAGAGGCAATTCTTTTTTTTTTTTTTAAAGATTTATTTATTTATGCATACGAGAGCTGGGGTACAGGTGGATTGAATGAAATACACTGCTGAGGGGAGCAGCGGGCAAGACAGGAGAGGTCTGCTGCGCCATATGGGTTGCTCCCTGGCCAGCTGGGGATCAAACTAGTACTGCAGAGGCTGCAGATTGCTTCATAGTGCTGTGCTTAACCCCTTGCACCACCAGGGAGGCCCTCTTAGAGGCAGTTCTTTAATTACTTTTACCTGGTTATTGTTTTATTTAATTTTCTCTGTCTTTTGGAGTGAATTTTAATAATTTTTTCCAGAAAAAATAAATTATTTTATACAGATGTCCAAATGATTGGTATAGTTATAAATGGTATTATTTTGTCCCTTATTAAATCTCTTCCGAATTTGAAACTAGATTCTCTTCCTTGTTCAGAATATCATTCATATCTTATTTTTTGCTTGAACTAACCTACTATAGGTTTGTCTATTTTAATGATCCAAAGACTAATTTTTATTATGTCTTTTGTTGTCTGTTTATCAACTTCAACTTTAGCTTTAATTCCTTATTTTTACTTTCCTTTATGTTTCTTGTTTTTCTAGTTTCTTGACCTGAATGTTCCATTGCATTTATTTGCTGCAAATGGCATTAGTTTATCTTTTTTGATTGCTGACTAGCATTCCATTCTGTACATATACACCATATCTTCTTTAGGAACACTCTTGTCCCACTCTTACTTCCTGAGGTAGAACTGACCTCCAACCTCTAGCTCTAGGGGCGGCCATGTGAGTCAGGTCTAGACAAGCAAATTATCAGAACCCTGAATATGCCAGGGTACAGGGAAGGGGGGAAAAGTGTTTCAAGGTTCATGTTTGACATGTTTGGTTTTTAAAAACTAAATTTCTAGTTACCAGAGTATACGAAGAAGGACATAGACCTAGAGAAACAATAAATTATCTGGGCTGTGACAAACATATTCACAGTCCTCTGGACAATCTATCTATATTAAATAAGTTAGACAAGGAATAGCATCAAATGCAGAGAGCATATAACTGGATAAGAATCAAAAGACCAGTGAATTCAGGTACATATATGATAGCTAAAATCAGAAGTCCAACATGGTCTTTTAAGTTAAAAATATTTAATTGTCGGGGCCTCCCTGGTGGTGCAGGTGGTTGAGCGCAGCGCTGTGAAGCTGTCCGCAGCCTCTGCAATTCTGGTTCAATCCCCACCAGCCTCAGAGCAACCCACATGGCAAGCAGACCTCTCCTGTCTCTCCCGCTGCTCCCCTCAGCAGTGTATTTCGTCAGTCTGCCTGTTCTGTTCCCCGCTCTGTCTCTGGTGAATCCTCTCACCCTCCCATGCATCTGGCCTATACCCTGGCTCTTGGATAAACAAATCTTTAAAAAAATATTTAATTGTCATTGTTAATCACCACTGTCATAAAATGTAGGGAGAAGAAAGTATCCTTCACTAATATTTTGTTAAGACTCCACTTTGAATTACTGATATACTTACTCAAAGTCAGAGGTGTTGATGAACTTGGAAGATATTGTGCCTCAAGAATTTGTAACTGAATCCGGCTATTTACTGCTTGAAAACAGGTCCCCAACTCAAGTTCTGCATGGCAGACCTGAATATTAAAAAAGTGTCATTTGATAAAGAATAAGGTTTGAGATATTTCAAAAATTCAAAAATAAAGAACTATGGTTATGGAGTGTTTTCAGACGCAACTGGGAAGAGAAGGAGGAAGGAAAGGAAATAAAGGAGGAAGAAAAGGAAACATCATACTATAAGTACCTGGATATGGGGGTGGGGAGAGAAAGCAAAGTTAGAAATTTTGAAAGCACTGCTTTTTATTGACATATGAAATTATATTAGAAGGTTAAGAAGATAAGTATCATGAATTCTGTAAATATGAGGTATTCACTTTGACAGATTCCGAAAACACAAATTACACTTACATAATGATCCTTCTTCAAAATCAGTAAAATAAAAAAATTGAAACTTGAGGGCCTCCCCTGGTGGCACAGCGGTTGAGCGCTGGGCTGCGAGGCTGCCTGCAGCCTCTGCAGCACCGGTTCGTTCCCCGGCCACCGGCGAGGGTCCCACAAAAAAAAAAAAAAAAAATTGAAACTTGAAAAAAAAAATTCCTAAGTAGTTTTATTGGAGAAAGTATCAGTGAAATAAACACCAAAATAGTATATTTTCAAAATTTTGTATCTGTAAGTCATTTGAGCTACTTAAAAACATAAAATATGATCAAAAATCATATATATGAGAATTCTTTTTTTCTAATTGCAGAAATCAGAGTGGGTGCTACCACAATCAGAAGACAAAGTATTATTACAGTGAACAGATGTGTGAATTCTGAGCTAAACCACTGTACCAAATGCATAAAGTCAAGGAAGAAAGCTGGCAAGAAGGTAGCTAGTGAAAGTGATGATGCACTAAGTAATAAGGAATAATAAAAAACCTGAGGCAAACAATAAAATGAAGGAGACTGGGCTCTTCAGCATTGCTGACTAACAGCAAAAGAAAACTGGCAATTTGTCTGTGAGACAGAACATAAACCAGACTATTTATGTGAATTCCAAAGTCCTTAGAGTGAATAAAACAGAGAAACATGAAGTTGTCCAAACACAAGAATGTTACTATTCACATGTTGAAGACAGTAAGGGAATAAAGCAAGAACATAATGTTAACAGATCTTACTAGGGCTCAGCACGGACAGACATAAAAGTCTTTGTGAGTACTGATTCCAACAAAGCTACATAATAGTTGGATGACACTTTGTTTGATAATTGCCCAGTATTCTCCAATAATTGGCTCATGGCTCACTGAAAAATAATCTTTCTATAAGTAAGTATGTCATTGACTGAATCTTGGGTATTTTAAATACAAAATGGCACATAAAATATAAGTCTGTGCTTTGTAATTGGTCATGCCATAATAAATTTAAAGAAAGTAAAAAGTGAACCACTTGAAAGTATAAACTCAACTACTATGGTTAGCCTCCCTCTTGAAAGGTCTAAAAGGATGACAAAACTAGTTTGTCAACAATTGCTGAATAATGATAAATAAGTCAATATACTGTTTTTGCTTTCCATCAGATTGAAAATGGAATAAAAAATCTTTTCATATGAACTAATTTAGCGCCATATACAAATACGTTAAAAAATGATGCTGTTCTTGGCATTTCACAAATATGTTTGAAAATAGTCATATTGTTTACAAACACAAAGGAAGCCATAGATAAAAAATTTTCATTATGGTTTGCACCCACAATGTAATAAATTATGAAAATGCCCAGAGGTGGCAAAACTTTTTTTTTTTTTTTTTGAGTCAGTCATGTGTTTTATTTTTTTTTTTAAGATTTATTTATTTATACAAGCACTGGGTACAGTCAGAAGCGCGGGAGGGTGAGAGAATTCACCAGAGCCAGAGCAGGGAGCAGAACAGGCAGAAGGACCGAAGTACACTGCTGAGGGGAGCAGCGGGCGGCAGGAGAGGTCTGCGCGCCATGTGGGACCCTCCTCCGGTGGCCGGGGAGCAGCCGGGCATCGAACCCGCGCTGCAGAGGCTGCAGGCAGCTTTGCAACCCAGCGCTCAACCGCTGCACCACTGGGGAGGCCCGGTGGCAAAACTTTTGCTAGTGTTACACACTAAAGAGTTAACTCTCATAAAACAGAAAAGTATTTGGGAATGATTTCTTATTTGCCAAGGTTATTTTACAAATTCAGTTTATGTTCCAGGATATTATTTTTCAGACCATGAAAACTATTCAAAAGCTATTCAAAGAAGTTTTCAATTTCATAACTAAAAAAAAAAATTAAAATTCCAATCAATGAACAGGTATATATTAAGTATATTTAACAAGCACAAAATGGTGGGAGATACAAAATATGATCTCTGCTCCTGAATAATCTTTTTCCAAAAAAGAAAATTTTATTATCCTCCTGGAATGGTGGAAAATAAAATAAATGTTAAGCATAATGAGAGAAAGTCATAATCTGGGACATCTGAGAATATCTTCTAAGAAGGCCATTACATGGTAAAGATAAAAGAACTGGCTCTGGACTCAGATGGCCTCCATCAAATCCTGGTTCCCCCAAAACATGAACTCAGGCAAGTGCTTAAATGTTTTAGTCACCACAACAGGGATAATAAGAACTGCAAACCTGTAAGTTTGGTGCAAGCACAAGTCACTGAGAACCAAGGCAGTCATGTAGTAAGTCTCTGTAATTGTCCAGCAAACATTATTTAAGACAGAAATTTCAGATTCTAAGTAAGTATTGATTTGTCAAGGTCAAGAACTCTTTACTGATGAAAATACAGCTCTCAATAAAAGTCCTGCTATTCGCGGTGAAATAGTTGTCTGTGTGGAGGATGAGTTTGTAAGTCTGGTTCTTTCAGTGTCACAATTAAAACATTAATTTTCCTAACACAAGAAACAAAGCATACTATTTTTGCTTAAGGCAATAATATGAAAACATTCTCTCAGTATATAAATTCATTGTTCCAGTATAGTCCAAATGCTCTTCTTACAGGCCATCAATCTTTGTAACCCTAACATCTGGCATACAAGAGCTGTATAAGTGTTTATAAGACCACTGATATATGAAATATAATTTAAGAACTTAGCCAAAATCATTCAGAGTTTCCACTGCAGGAAGGATTACAATGTCTCAGTTCCCCAGAAAATGGCTTTGCTTAGTTATCTTCTGATATACTCTACTGGTCTTTAAAGATTTAATACAGGAAATCAAATTATCCATTTGAATAGTGTATCTGTACCTTCTATAAACTATGGCTGCAGATTACTGTCTACTAAGTTAGTTTTGAAGATGCAAATGGAAAACCGATCATTGTTACAAAACAAAACAATATTTTAACAAACAATAGCAACAATTTAACAGACTTTCATTCAGAATTTATTCTTTTATACCTACTTACACCTACAAATACAATGCCAAGAATATGACAAGCCCTTAATAAAAGTGCACAATAAAATATGAAGAAAAAAAGATGGAAGTGAGCCTAGTTCTGTTTTGTTTAAAACAAGTAACTTAAATAATTCTAAGTTGTAATAAATACTACACAGAAAACACCCTGGGGATATATACAGAAAATAATAGACAAGAAATTTCCATCCTCTTTAATCAATTACAGTCATCCTTTGGGTTTTTTTATTACTCAATTCCTAATTTTCCCTCCAATTCAGTGGTTCTCAGACCAGGCTACCCAATAGAATTACACGGGGTGATACAGATGCCTTTGCCCTCATAAAAGCTAATTTATTACTGATTTCTATAAATGTCATCCTGTCATAGAAACTATATTAAATTACGAGGAATTTTTTTTTTTAACACTTTAAACACAGTATTCAGTTGACTTATTGTGAGAAGCAAATATCCAGTCTCAAAAACCATTCAGGACTACAGATAACAAAGCTCTTGAAAAAAGAAACCAGCTGTAAGAACCTTTATTTTACTCAATTTATTGGATGATATGCAGCTTATTTATGATTAAAACAACTTTCCTAATCTACTTTAGCCATCTTTGAATTTGGAGTTTATAACTGTTTCTTGCTTTTCCTAAGTTATCAACAATCGAAAAATATTTTTTAAAATGTTAAATAATCCTCATTTAAATAATCTTAAATTATTTAATAACTTTAAACTATTTGAACTTCAGGTTTATTTCCCAGGTGTCATTTTCCCATGAAGTATGAAACATTTTTAAAAATGTACTAGAAGATAACTTAAAGCTATTTACTAGTGCAGAATCAAAATGGATTCTATATGCTTTTATTAACCATTTTAAAAATTATTTGAACAGTAACATTATTACTGCTATTGCTTCTTAAGGGTCTTCTACACTATTCAAGTTAAACTCCAACAAACAAAAACCAATCACCTAGATAATTCTATGTACGAAATACTTTTTTTTTTTTTTAAAGATTTATTTATTTATTCATACAAGCACTGGGTGCAGTCAGAAGCGCGGGAGGGTGAGAGAATTCACCAGAGCCAGAGCGGAGAGCAGAACAGGCAGAAGGACCCAAGTACAATGCTGAGGGGAGCAGCAGGCGGCAGAAGAGGTCTGCGCGCCATGTGGGACCCTCGCCCGGTGGCCGGGGATCAAACCGGTGCTGCTGTGGCTGCGGGCAGCTTCGCAGCCCAGCGCTCAACCACTGCACCACCAGGGGAGGCCCTGAAATACTTTTAATAATACATACTACTATCACTTACAGAAATTTTTGAAGGTGGTGTTATATCCAAAGAGTAATCCATTTCCTGTGTACTAAGATTTCTGAGTGATAGTGAACATTCTCCAATCGTCTTCTTTCTGGGAGTCTGGATTTGAACCTTAAATACAAGCCTGACAGTCTGCAGGCTTTGGAGTTTAATAGCAAATACAAAAGTTTCCATAAATTCAATAGTCTAAAAAGAAAAAAAACAAGAAAATATAAAATAATTAAAAGGACTAAAGGAACCGATGATATGCCAATACAAAACAAACAAAAATAACATTTTATATTCTAGGAAAAGTAGAATTTAATTTTTTTTACAACAAAAAATACTTTTTTTTCTTTATAAAACCAGGTGCATTTAAAAAAATTTATATATTTTTTACATCATTGTTCATTTTTGTACAATATCTGATTTCTCCTTTCAGATGTAGTCCCTATAAAATTCCCACCACCAAGTCACCCATGAACCATCACCATAGTTCCTTGTGCTCTTCCTGCCTGCTGTTTTAATCCCTCCCCTCCCCCTCTCCCGCAGAATGCGTCTGATTTATACTTGCCTGCTAGTTTTGTCTTTTTATTTTTTCCTGACACCTTATTTGGTTCAACAAAAAATACTATTTAAGGTAAATGAAAATGAGAATGGCCATGACTTGTTTTTCCAGAGTTTACCCAGGATACTGCCTTTCTTAATTTCAAAAATTACTCTTTTAATTACTTAGACAAGAATTCAGGTCAATATGAACACCAAGTTCATCAAATATGGATTGTTCCCTTTTAGAAAATGAGGTAGTTTGGGCCTCCCCTGGTGGCGCAGCGGTTGAGCGCTGGGCTGCGAAGCTGCCTGCAGCCTCTGCGGCCGGTTCGATCCGTGGCCAATGGGTGAGGGTCCCACATGGCACACGGACCTCTCCTGCCGCCCGCTGCTTCCCTCAGCAGTGTCCTTCAGTCCTTCTGCCTACTCTGCTCCCCGCTCTGGCTCTGGTGGATTTTCTCACCCTCCCGTGCTTCTGACTGTACCCAATGCTTGTATAAATTAATAAATAAATAAATCTTAAAAAAAAAAAGAAAATGAGGTAGTTTCCCATCTTTGGTTCTGGGGCATCTTTTCTGTGATTCACCACAATTATTCGACAGTGTGGATTTATTATTGTAAGCGTGGTTCAAGAATCGAATGTGAGCTCTCTTAGTACCTAAATCTAACTTCTTCATGTTAAGACACGAATCATTTCTTTAAAGGAGCTATTCCTTGTCTAACGTTCTTTCCATCTATCTTGGGCTGCAATCTCTCTTTTGGTGTTGTTTGTTCTACTCGTGCTAATCTGAAAATCAACCTCTTTGACAGAGAAGACTAAGCAAAATATTAAAGTTACACCTTCTCTCAAAATCATCCCTAGCAGGCAGCAAGTCAGTGTTTACCATGTTTAGAATATTTTCAAATGTTCTTTCTGTTCTCAACATTTTTAGAACACTTTGGCCTACCACAGGCTAACATTTTCTTGACTCTTTCATTCTTTGGTTCAAACTTTCTTCTTTCCATCTTCAGCACATCTGTTTGAAATTGAACATTTTTTGATACTTGGGCAACTAACATCAGTATTTTCGATATTGTGCCCAAAATGTTACTATTATTACAATTGTTTATATCTGTGTGAATCAGAATTGTTTCAAAGAGCCCCCAACTAGCTTTTTCTTTCAGAATCTCAAGACACAGTATTGCAGAATTAATACAGGACACAAAAAATGGTTAATTTTTAAACTCAGATGCAATGAGTTTACAAATGAAGTAAATGTGCTGGTTTTCTTCACATTTTTCCATAAAAGGGGTCTCCCAAATAACTTCACAAATAATAGTAAATTTAAAAAGATTCCAAGCAAGTTTTAAAGAGAATGCTTTTTCACTAACATTTGCACTTTTACTTAATTTTACCTGAAAATCAAAAAGTGAAATTATTTGGGCCTCCCTGGTGGCGCAGGGGGGCCCAAATACAGCACTATCAAGCTATCGCCAGCCACTGCAGCACAACCACGAGTTCGACCCCCGGCCAGTCAGGGAGCAGCCCACATGGTGCAGCAGACCTCTCCTGCCTCGCCTGCTGCTCCCCCTCAGCAGTGTATTTCAGTAGATCTGCCTGTTCTGTTCTCCTCTCTCTCTGGTGAATCCTTTCACCCCCTGCAATTCTGGCTCACACCCCAGTTCTTGTATGCATATATAAATCTTTTAAAAAAAGTGAAATTATTTAATTCAAGAAGTAATCATCTGTCAGGATTATAACTAGAGTAAGGATTCATTTCTACTAGACATTCCATAATGTATATTTTCAAAAAGTAAGATGTATATATAATTACTATCTTACATTTACTAATAACATTTCACCTTTCCATGTCTTTAAAAACTTTTCCTAATTATTCATTCTCATAGCTGCCTAGTTTCTATCACATGGTATTCTTTCCTCATAAGAAGATGGCCGTGTAAAGACACAAACACAGAAAGAACACCATGTGAGGCTCAAAGTCGACATTAGGGTGAACTAAGGGGTGTCAGGGACTGCTGGCCATCACCAGAAGCCAGGACAGAGGCATGGGACAGATTTTTCCTCAGAGAAGGAACCAGCACTGCTGATAACTTGATTTAGACGTCCTTCAAAATCATGAGAGATAAATTTCTGTTGTTCCATGCCACCAAGTTTGTGGTCCTTTGTTTCAGAACCCAGGAAATGGATACGCAGTGGCGCACCCCTATATGAGACATTCAGATTATATCCAACTTTTCTGCTATGAATAAAACTGCCAAGAATATTTTACCGATTATGTTTCTATCTTAGATTATTTCCAAGAAGCAGATTACAAGTAGAATTACTTTGTTACCAGTATAAATATTTTAAGATTTTGATGTACAGTATCAAAATAATTTTCAGAAAGTTGTGCCAGGTTACTTGTAAAATTTCTCCCCATTTTAAGTGTACAAAAAAAAAATAGAAAAGAGAAAGAAATGTGTAATTTAAATTTATATTTCTGTGGTTACTAAATAATTTTTTTCATGTTTATTAGTCATTTGAATTACCTTATTTGTAAATGGTATGTTCTTCTAGATGATACAGTTCACTAATACACAATTATTTCTCAAAGTCAATGTGGAGTGTGGGGAAAGGATGAATATAGACATTTCTTTTCCTTCCACAAAAGAAAAGTTAATAGTTTTCTTAGCTATTGTTCATCTATTAGAGAGATTTTCTTTAAAATGCATCTTAGTATTGCAAGGTAAAAATCAAAATCAACAAGCAACTATAAACCAGAGACACACTGGAGGCGGGGGGGTGCGGGGAGGGAAGGGGAGAGGAAGGACTAGGGTCAAAATAAGGGGGGGTGCAATTGTACGGGGACTATAACAAAATGATAATGCATACATTGTGCAAAAATGAAAAATGATGTAAGAATTATATAAAATAAAATATTAATTTTAAAAAATTAATGGATCTTAGTATTGGACAATGATACAGCAAATATTTTAAACCTTGATATGCATACATGCCTAACCACACCCAGTGCCCTTCAGATGGACAAAATGACCCCTGTTCTTCTTTCCTCCCACCCCCCGTCCTCTTTCCCTCTGGTAACCATCACACTTTTCAGAGCCTAAGACTTATTTTTGTTGAAAAATAACACTTTCTTACATGGCTTAAAGGAACAAATGAGAACAACATAAAAAGAAATTCAAACACAAATAGCCACTTACACTGGAGCCTTCCTTGGCTGAAGATTTAAAACTGACTGGTTTGGGCAATGTTAGCATTCCTTTTATAGAAATAGCAGGCGTGTCTCCGTAGCTAGACGGCCAAGTTAAATCTCTGCACTAAAAAATTTAAAAACAGTTCGAATATTACAAAAAACTCTGATGATGCAAGTATTTAATGTACCTCTTGAACTGATGCAAATAAAAACTTTATAAAAGCAAACTGTAGTCCACTAAAGCCTCCTATTTCACCTATATCAAAATAAGATGACATCTAATAGTCTGGCATCATATCAATTTCCTTCTTGACGTTAAAAACCAAACACGTCTCTTGCAGTTATTAGTAATGATGGCAGCAGTGATTTTGGTGCTAAGTGGAGGAATTTAGCAAACTTAATTCTGGTTGTTGGAAAGACTATCTACATATACATTGAAATAAACAAGAATTAATTTTGGAATTACATTGTACTTTGTGTAAACATTCAAATAGAAATTCATGCAGTGACCAGGTATTGATAGAGAGTATAGATGACAGTAATGTGCTGTCTAATGTGGTGATAAACTGAAAATGTGGGCAAAAGGAAAATGATCTGAAAGGACTAACGAGAAGCTAGAAGAAAGCCTATATCCAGCTACGTTCCAGTGTGGCAGAAAAAAAGCCATTGGGAAGAGGGGCTATGGCAAGGAACAAGAAACCCAGGTGTTTATTTTCAGTTAATTAGAAATGGTATTTCAAAAATATTTTAAATTTAATCTGTTGCAGAATATGTGTGTATATATGAATTTGTGGGGGCAAATTGGGTAGATATGGAATGGAATTTAGAAACCTTTAAATCTCATCCCATGTTACAAACAAATAAACTAAGCTTCAGAAAATGTAAAAAACTAAAACAAAAACATGCCTCAATCACATCTACAGGTTTATTACCTTTAGATTCTTTATTAAATATTATTTTCTTCAAAAACACTATAGGACCCTAAATTTCAAAGAAAGCATTGGCCCATTCTTGAAAAGAAAACAAGAGTAGATGCTTATGGTGTCTATAATCAATTTTGTACAAAAAGTTGGTATTAACTATTGATATGTTAACGTACCTGTAAAAGTGTGATCCAGATTTGCTCTACTGAAGAATTATAAAACACTTTCACATTCAGTCTCCCAAAATCTCTTTCATCTCCTGATAGAGTAATTGTATCTGAATTGTAAAAGGACAAAGATTTTTGAAATGCTATACAAGTCTTCTAACCCAATTAAACTTCAACATAATCCAATTTTCAGCGAACAATTTTTAAACGTTAAAACTATTTTTGTAAGTTGCCAGTTTAATGAGACAAAAATCAAACTTCAATGTTTTTTTTACTGAAGTGCTAGGGGTAAGATACACTTATAAAGTACTTGGCTTATACTACTCAATTATAAAAAAAGAATGAAATCTTGCCACTAGCAACAAAAGACAAATACTGTATGATCTCACTTGTATGTAGAACCTGAAACATTCGTAGACACCAAGAACAGATTGGTGACTGCAGAAATGAGGAGCAGCACCAGAATGAAATGGGTTAAGAAGATCATATGCTATAAATTTCCAGTACAAAATCTACATATAAGGAGAACATGTATTATTTGTCTTTCTGTCTGACATGTTACTTAGCATATGCCTTCAAGGTCCATCCATGTTGTTGCTAATGGTAGGAGTCATTCTTTTTTCAGGTGCTAAAAGAAAGCTCAGCACAAGGAAAATTTTTGCACCCATGTATGGGGATCCATGTTAACTAGACTTACTGTGGTGATCACTTTGCCATTTGTACAAATGTTAAGTCATTATGTTGTATACCTGAAACTAACATAGTGCTATATGTGAATTAAACCTCAACTTTTTTTTTTCAAAGGTACATGGCTTGAAACTTCAACCCAATCACGGACTGAGGGATTAAAGTTAAAACAAAGAAAAACTTTCCCAAATAGCATTAATATAGTGTTCACACTATGTGCTCCTGGAAGTTCCTTTACTGATATATCTTAAAACAAACAAAAGATATTCAACTGCTAAACTTTTTCAAAAGACACATTCATGCCTGGATGCTAAAATACGGGCCATCTCATCCAGAGAGAGCGGGGCAGGATGAGAAAGGGGGCGGGGGATGGAAAGGCACAAGGGTGGATGGTGAGGGACTACGACGGGTGACTTACTGGTGGGAGGGCTACAATGACTGACTGCACCTGAGGAGGGAAATCTTACACTGCCAGAACACTAGTAAGGTTGTAGAACAATGATACCTCCAAAAAATTAATTAAGGACCCTCTGACCTGAGTATTCATATGTAGGTAACAATGCTGACATAGATAAAATCAAGTAGGATTTGGGTTTATTTTTTTTTTTAACCTTAGACTTCTCAAGCATAGACGTTAATGCAAATGGCCAACAGGTATACGAAATAATGTTCAACATCACTTATTATCAGGGAAATGCAATTCAAAATCACAATGAGGGCCTCCCTGGTCACGCAGCAAGTTGAGCACCATGCTGCGAAACTGTCTGCAGCCTCTGCATGCGGGTTCGATTCTCCACCAGCCAGGGAGCAACCCACATGGCGCGGCAGACTTCTCCTGTCTCGCCTGCTGCTCCCCTCAGCAGCGTCTTCGGTCTGTCTGCCTGTTCTGCTCCCCACTCTATTTCTGGTGAATCCTCTCACCCTCCCGCGCTTCTGGCCTGTACCCCAGTTCTTGCATAAATAAATCTTAAAAAAAAAAAAAAAACAGAATGAGATACCACCTCACACCTGTGAGAATGGCCAATACTTAAAAAAAAAAAAAAAAACAAAACCCAGAAACAAATGCTGGCAAGGATGAAAAGGGAACCCTCTTCCAATGCTGCTGGAAATGCAAACTAGTCCAGCCACTATGGAAAGCCGTGTGGAGGTTCCTCAAAACACTAAAAATGGATCTAGCATAGGACGCAGCCATTCCACTCTGAGAAATCTACCCAAAGGACACAAGAACACTAATTTGAAAGGAAACCTGCACACCTGTGTTTACTGCAATACTATTTACAATAGTCAAGATATGGAAACAAGCTAAATGCCCCAAAACAGACCAAGGGATCAAAAAGATGTGAGATATATACACAATGGAATACTACTCAGTGATCAAAACAGATAAACTTACACCATCTGTGGCAACACAGATGGAGCCGGAAGGGATTACGCTAGGCAAAATAAGTCAGAAGGAAAAAGAAAAATACAGATGGTTTCACTTACATGTGGAATATAGAGAAACCAAACAAAATGTCAAGAAACAAAGACAAAAATTGCAAGCTGACCACAGATCTGAGGCATCCAGCAGGGGAGGGAACAGGTTAGAGGGAAGAGCACAAGGGACTGTAGTGACAGATCATCGGGGCTATGATGGTGGAAGAATTACAGGGGCTACATGAGGGGAGAAATCAAATACAATCTAAAAAATTAGTAAAGATGCAAGAAAAAAATTATTAATAAAAAATAATGAAAATAAAATATATTTTAAATTACTATTGGGTAGAAATAATCCCTCTAAGAATATAAAAACAGGATACTTTATTCCTTACCAAGGCTTCTGTTGCTCCCCTGAGAATTTTTCCTTGAGGAAGAACTACTGGGCACACTGGACAATGAATCATGTCTCTACAAATAGAAGTTTTCTTTAGTTAGAAATTACATATGATGCTTTAAGGGTTCTGAAACTTATGTCCCAACACCCACCTTAGTGTCAAACTGCATGCTAACCATTCTGACAGCATTACTGATTGATTGGCTTATCCTACTTTCACAAAGTAAAGAAGAAAAAAGCTTTTTATATATGTTATCAGGAAATTCTTAAATATCTTAGTAGATAATGTAGGGGAGTCCTTGTTCTTTTGGGTCTAGTATTCTAAGGGAGAAAGATTATTGCTCCTGTGTCAGACTTGGAAGTACTAATAAAAATCAATATATTTGAAGTACCCTATCACATAAAAACCTATGAAGCAGCAGTCATCAAATCATGCTCCCTCTGGACCAGCAGTACCAGCATCATCTGGGAACTTATTAAGAATACAAAAACAGGTTCCAATGAAGAGCAACTGAATCCCCGAAAGCTCTGGGGGATACTTTAACAAGCTCTCCAAACAATTCTGATGTATGTTAAAGAGCTGGTGCTATAAAGAATTAAGTCTATAAAAAATTAACTGAGGATTATTAAGGATTATTTAGAATACATTTCCATTTAAATAAAATATACATATATATGATCAAATGGAAAAAAGTCCACAAGTATATATAATAGTATTTCCAATAGTGCTTCTACTCCCAGCAATAGGAACAAATGATTTGTCTTTTTATTTTGTTATTTTCTAACCATTAAAATACTAAGTAATAAAAGCTTATTTGTATGGGCCTCCCTGCTGGCACAGCGGGTTGAGTGCAGCGCTGTGGAGCTGTCTGAAGCCTCTGTGGCACCGGTTCGATTCCCGGCCGGCCAGGGAGATTCCCATATGGAGAGGCAGACCTCTCCTGTCTTTCCCGCTGCTCCCCTCAGCAGTGTACTTTGGTCTTTCTGCCTGTTCTGCGCCCTTCTCTGTCTCTGATGAATTCCCTCACCCTTCCGAGCCTCTAGCCTGTACCCCAGTGCTTGTATAAATAAATAAATCTCTAAAAAAAAAGTTTATTTATATTAATTTTTAAAATTTTTTAAATATTTTTAAATATATTATGTGTTATGTACATTGTTATAAATATTTTAAATTAAAAAATTTCAATTATATTTCAAAAATAGAATGTTATATTAATAGTAATGAATAATTAAAGTCCTATGTCTCAATAGAAACACTGTTTTTTACTAATAAGGAAATTATGTTCAATAAGGAAAGTTAAATCAATAAGCATTTTAATTATACCATTTTAAATTCCAACTGTTTCAAGACTGCCTAAGTACATACCAACTGAGAGATGTAAGAGCCATAAAAACACAAGGAAAACTACTGCCTTTTAGTATTTAATTGAAAGCTTCCTAAGATAATGCATGTGGAAAATGACAAGTGTTTTTTAAAAATTTATTTATATATATTTTACATCATTGTTCCTTTTCCAGCAATGTTTAATTTTATTTTTCAGCTATTATTGATAGAATACATAGATCACAGAAGAGCTATAACATGTTATTCTAATATAATTCTGAATGTTCAGCTTACATAAATAATTGTATGCAATTAAATTTAGATGAGTAATTTACCTGGATGAACCGCTGAGATGAACTTGTAAGATCAAACATAGACTTGCTTAGCCCAGGGGAACTGGGAAGTTTGCTGGTCCTTAAATCACAAACTACAAAGGGACATGAAATTGCTTATTTTTATAGCAAGAAAAAACACTGAAATTCTACTTAATTACCATCAACAAAATCTCTATAGGAATATATCATGAATCTTAATGCAAATCTATTTGAGAGAGAAAACCTTCCAATGACAATATTAACTTTTCAATTATTTTACTTTGGTTTGAATCAGAAACAACATATTTTCACATCCATATCAAATTATCAAGTAGGAGAAAATCATTTTTTCTGTTTATATTACCCAATTTTTCATCACAGAAGAACAGGTAGGTGTAAGTTCTCTAAATACAATTCCACTATTTAATGGGTTATGTTAACATTGAAAAAAAAAATCAATACTGAATTCCATGTGTCAAGATAGTTCTAGTTTCCCTCCTAAATTGTAAGATCCTTGAAGAATGGAACTCTGCATACTAATTGTGGATTCTAGCACAGTGCTAAAAAATATGTATTAAATAATATTAAATAAAATAAATACTTCAGCTTTACTTTCAGTACCTCAGCCTGAGTTCAGTGTTTGAGATAGCCATATGTATCTAAATTGAGAGATATATATAGAGAGAGGCAGGACACTCAAAAAACTAGTGAGAATTCTGTCTGTCAGATATGTGAATATAGGCTGTGGGCGTCTTGGTGGTTGTGCGGTTGTGACATGCAGCAGAGGAGGTGTGATCCTGTGCCTCTGAACCTCGTAGTGTTGTAAACCAAAGTTACCTCAATTTAAAAAAAGAACAAAAAGAGACAGACTATAACTGATGTAGTCTCAAATATTAAACTAAGAAAAGTTCTATAACATTTAATTATTCTCTATTTGCTTGCATTTCTAATCACGTCGTACAGAGAAAAAAATCTACTGTAGCATTTATTACTACATCGATGTTACATAAAATGTAAACAAAATAATCTGAAAATAAAATTTCTTTCAGAAAGAAGACAAAGTGGAATTTGGAACTATGACTACATATAACTCATTATCTTTCCATTTTTATGTTAGATAAACTCCTACAGAGAAGTCATAGTGTTTATCACGTCACTTCTGAAGCCTGCTTTTCTCATATTTAAATTGCTTTCCTGCTAAAAATCATTTCTTCCAGGATCTGAGATTTAATTTGATTTCTACATTTGTTAAAGAGAAACACAAGAGGAAAATTACAAAATAAACTTTCCATACCTGATCCATATAATCTCATTGCTCCTGAACGTGGAGAAAGGCGCCGATTCAAATCAGGTGAAGCATGCTGGTACATATAGAATGGGTTATACACATCATAGCTGGGTCCATGCTGTGACAAACTAGAAAGTTCTGCCTTTCGATCGCCAAAAGATGCTCTGGCAGATCCTGAAAGCAAGTGTTTCTAAAGTTTTACAATATCACTTTGTGGAGACATTTATAATCAGCCAATAGCTAGTGCACCCAAGGCAAAGGGGAAAAAACTGTTTCAAGCAATGCTAAATTACATGCATTTGATATATATTTTTTTAAAAATCAGCTCACATTTATTGAGCTCTAACTGTAGAGAGTATTCTGCCAGGGCTCAGTCATAAACCCTGACTTCAGTTTAGCAAATTTCTGACATTTTTCTTTGTCTCACAGACAATTCTGTTATTTCCTTTTATTTCTCTATTTATACAAAGGACATTTATTAAGTATAAAGATTATCTTTTCGGAGATGTACTCTTTTCGCAAACAACAAGTACAGAACATTTCTAAAAATTGATCACATGTTGAAAGATGAATAGAAAATATTAAGATGGAAACAAAGAACTAAGAAAAAGAAAAAGATAACATTTAGGGGAAAAACAAGATTCAAAGATTTGTTTTACTGGGTATTTTTCTTTTAAGATTTATTTATTCATAGAAGAACTGGGGTGTAGGCCAGAGGTGTGGGGACACAGCGCACAATGTAGGGAGCAAAACAGGCAGATCTACTGAAATACACTGCTGAGGGGAGCAGCAGGCGAGACAGGAGAGGTCTGCTGCGCCATGTGGGTCAGCTCCCTGGTAGAGACTGACCTCAGGCCACAGCAGTGATCGCACTGAGACATAACCCCTAGGCCACCAGGGGTTGGTACCCCTTTCTGGGTACCAAGGACACAAAATCATCACAATCATAGATCAATGGAACAGAAGGTCCAGAAAGAGACACCCATCTTATGGACATTTGATTTATAATCAACGTGGAACTGCATAACTGGGGAAGGAATGCTCCTCTCACTAAAAGATGATAAGACAACTGGATATTGATAAGGGTAGGGGGAAAAACCCTCATCCCAACTAAACATAATCAAGAAAAATTAATTTCATGTGGATTGTAGATCTTAATTATTAAAGGCAAACCATAAAATGTTTTTACTTAATTTGTAAGAAAGCTTTTATGACATTAGCACTGGGAAGCATTTCCTAAGAAGAATTTTAAGAAACTGACCTACATCAAAATAGAAAATTCCCATTTCTCAAAAGACTACTTAACAGAGTGAAAAGGGAACAGGCAGAGCTGGAGAAGATATGTGCAATAACTATAAGTGACAAAGGGCTCATATACAGAATACATGAGGAATTCCCACATATCAATAAGAAAAAGGCAAGTCTCTAAATAAGTTGGCTTTAGCCTCAGCAGGAACTTTCCGAGGTTATCCAAACAACCAATAGACATGACCTTGCACTACATCTCAAAAGTCACAAGGGAATTGTAAATTAAAATTCCAATGAGATACCACTACATCCTCAACAGAATGGTTAAAATTAAGAACCCTGGGATTAGCAAATGTTGACAAGGAAACAGCAATTTGAGCTATCATATTCTGCTGATAGGAATGTAAGTTGATACATTTATCACAAAACAGTTTGGCAATTTCTACTAAAGGTGAATATATTTATACACTATGAACCAACAATGCTATTCTGGAATGAACTGAAATTTCACACACGTATACCAAGAGACAAGTACAAGAATGTTTATAATCATCATCATTATAATAATAGCCAAAAACTGGAAAAAATTCAAATGTCTAACAACAGTAAAATTGTTAAAATTCAATATACACTTATTACATAAAAATACCTTATAGTATATGCCACACACCGAAACACTAATTTATATGATGCTATTTAGAATACAAGAGTAAATAATTTACTACAGAGGTATGAAAATAATTTGAATGAATCTCACAAACACAATGTTGAATGAAAAAAAAAACCCATAAACAAAAAGATATATATTGAGTATGTAATTTCATTTACATAAAGGTCAGAAAGCAGAAAAAACAGAAACAACATTTAGGGATATGTTCTGAGTGGCAAAAGTAAGGAGACCATGAAAGCAACGATTGTCGCAATTGGGACACTGATTACTGTGTAATGAAGGATGACAGGAGCGGAGGAAGACAGAAGCTTTTGGGTCGCTAATAAGACTCATTTCTCTACTTGTGTGGTGACCATATACATGATTTGCTTTGTAATAAATTACTGTACATTTGTTTTATTTTTTCTATGTCTATATTTCCCAATTTGAAAAGGGTAAAACAATACATGAGATTCCTTTAAAAGTTAAGAATCACTTTGGAAATAATATGTAGTCCCAAAATTGAGTTTTTATAATTTTCTAATTATTGTCATCTTTTCATTCTTTTTATCCAATTTAAAGTAAAACCCATAAACTTAAAAAAAAAAAAAAAGGAAATAGCGCCCACAGTATAACTAATATTTTCTGAATTAAGCTAAATAATAAGGCAGGTGGCCTCACATGAGTCCAGAAAAGAAAAACAACATATGGGCTTATGAGGCGAGATTTTATCCTCACCTGGTTCAAATAACTATAGGTACTATCAAAGCCCAATCTACAGGCAGAGGGCTGACAAGAGGGAGTTATGATGCTAACAAGCATTATGAGGAGCCTATACATCTAATAAAATAAAATTTAAATCATGGCACAAAATACCACATCAAAAGTCTGTTTATATCGAGGGCATCACCGCCAAAAGTGCGAGTATAATACACACGTATTTAACTTTTATAATTAGGCATCATGAATATTTTCCTGACTCTAAATAATTTTCTCTTCCATATGCTAAAAGTCAGATGGCTTACACTCAGTGTGTAACAGTAGCCCCCAGGGAAGGGAGGGTCCAGGTTCCTTGCCCCACCGAGGAAGGGTGGAGCTGAGCAGAGAGAAGGGAGAGAAGACAGGGAGAGAAGGATCAGGAGAGCAATGGAGAAGAGGACTTGGAAGAGGCACACGGAGCAGAGAGACATGGGAAGAAGCCACTCTTGTTTCTCAGCCTTGGACTGTGCCAGAGACTTGGGGGACATGGAAGGAGACACTTGAAACACATGTGGGTGTGAGACCTTTGGGGAGGTTGACAACAGCAGCCTTTATCTTGATTCTGATTTTGTTTTTTTCCTTCCAGACTTATCTGACCCTTCTGTTCCTTTCCTATGGGACCCCACCAGAAGCTGCCTTAGCCAATTCTACACACAAATGTGTTGTACTGTGATCAAGCTTTCAGGCCTTGGTGGTCCTGCTTTGGGCCAACCCTGCTGGGCTGGACATTTATCTACAAGGGGATGGGAAACTCTGAGTGTTTGATTTGGAAACTACTTTAACTATATTCTTTCTCTTCTCTTCTCTCTACTGCACACTAATTGTGCAAAGTTCTTTCCACTGAAGGTCTTAATGCACCTACAGTATGCTTTGTCTTGGTGTGGTAGATGTCAGAAACTGTTTAGAGCAGGCAGGTTTAGGGGTCCTAGGGCACCCCTCACCCTGCCCGGTAACAAGAATAATTTAAACGTGAACCAATTTCTCACTCATTCAACTCAAAAGCAATGTTCTCTACTAACACAATGAACAAAAAAGAAGACAAAAAATCATATTGTCAGGTAAGTATTTCTTCCTTATTTTCTGATTGTGAAAATAATGCAACTGGCCTAAGTGTCCAACAATAGCGAATTTATTAACTAAATTATGGTATTTCCACATGATTTAATATTATGGGACTATTAAAAAGTATATGAAAATATGCACAAGATATGATGTGAGTAAAAGAGATACAAGACTATACAATTTAAACCCAATGTTAAATAGTAGAGAAAGAGAAAGATCAACTCATCAGTGCATCCTGTGAACCAGAACTTCTAAAAACTATTTTTGTGACACTATTGATATGTGCAAAGTAAGCTGGTAGGAAAGGCAAAAGGTTCATCTTTCTTTGCTTCTTTTAAAAAAAAATTACTCCTACAAGACACAACTCTTCTATAGATAAAAACACAATAAACTCTAACTCTAAACCAAAAGAAAACAAAGATCCCTGAAGGCATTGGAGAGTTAACAAAAGGAGCACAGGCTGTGGAGAGGACCTGAATGGCACAAACTCAGTTACCTGTTTTTAATGACTTTTAGCCTGAGAGAGGCCAAAGTTAGCACCATGCAGGGTGGATAAAGTACCAAAAGAAAACCCAAAGTCTTTCTGGTGTGAAGATGCGGAGGGCAGAGGTCAAAGCAACCACAGCTGTAGAAAGGTGAGAATCTTGGAAAGGAGAAAGCTCCAAATTCTGTCAATAAAGTCTGCTCAGCTATCTGGCTGGTCCATGAACTACACACAGATGTGTGTAACAGACTCCAACTAAGGATTAAGAAAAACTAAGTTGAGGTAAGAGCTGCCATCGAAAACACAAATTTGCAGCAGAGTCCAACCAAGTCAACTGTCTAGTGAAATACAAAAAGGAAAACGGGGGTAGGGGCGAGAGGGAAGAGTAAATAAAGAATAATTCCTCTATTTTTTCTTTATAGAGAACAGAGGTATTACAATTGTGGAAACAAGCGTAAGTATTCTTAGCCATCGCTTTGTCATTTTGTGTATAACTGCCATTTTAGAATTTTAGGTTTTGCCGTCCCGGGAATGACGACAGCATTCCAGAGATAGTTTGGACAGTTTCGACCCTCACTCCACCCTTACCCTCCAGTCACTAATGAGGGCGAACTTGCCACAATTGGAGCTGCATCTCGGCCGGACCAATCAGCTTAGAATTATAGCCGCACAAAGATGGAGAACACATCCTTGTAGCCAATGAGTAACTGCCAGCATGATTTAATTTATTAAACCTGCTTGTAACCCTATAAAAAACCCCTGCTTCCTTTGTTCGGGGCTCTCTCGCTATCTGCCACTGTGTCAGTAGGTGCCATGAGCCCGGACCCCAGTCTGTAATGAACTCCCTTTTGTGTTTGCATCGGCTGTCTTTGGGTTCTTGGAGGCTATGCTCACCGAGTCCGCCGATCTTTGGCACAACAACAATTATATTATTTTTTTTAAAAGCCAAATCTATACATAAATGTGTTATACTGTGATCAGATTTTATAATGGGATCTTTCAAAAATACTGTACATTAAACTCCTCTACATAAAAAGCCAACAGTGCAACTATCTCTCATGTCTGGTCTCCTGCTTCTCAGCAGAGTATTTCAATAAATCCGTTTGGTCTGTTCTCCACTTTGTCTCCAGTGAATTCTTTTACTCCCAAGCCTCTTTTACCTGATTCTCCCCCATGACAATTAACTTTACAATTTGGAACCAAACAAAGCTTATAATTCACACAACCAAACACTACAAAAAAAGAAACAAAACAAAATATATGAAACAAAAATGTAAAATTTTTATATAAAATATATACTTTATATCTTTATATCAAACATATAAAAGAACAAAATAATAGTATTTAAATGCTGCATGCTGATTTTTAATCCTGACATTTTATTGCTTACCTTCAAGTTCTTCCAGATGTGAAAGAGTTCCTTGTGTCCTGGGCTGGATATAAGATAACTTAAACCTGGGCACCACAAATGGTACTTCCTTGCCATCAGATGGTAATTTAGAAAGTAAATAATCCTCAGTACAGCCAACCTGAGGCTTTATGGAAACAGAAGTCAATGGAGGTATACAGATAGTAGTACTTTGACCATTTGAGACTGCAGCTTTAATGTCTCTTTCCATGGAAACTGCATATAAAACAAGAAGAAAAAAAGAAGAAAAATTACAATATACATACAGAATTTTAATAACAATTAGTTATTTATAACTAAATAAATGAAACTCATAAATTAAAATTATTTATAGCTAAATAAATTTAATTAAAATAACTAAACCTAGGGCCTCCCTGGTGGTGCCAGGGGTTGAGACACAACCTACAAGGCTGTTCGCAGCCACTGCAGCACAGGTTCAATCCCCAGCCCCCTTCCGGCCAGAGAGCAGTCCACCTGGCACAGAAGATCTCTCCTGACTCGCCCACTGCTCCCCTCAGCAATGTGCTTCAGTCAGTCTGCCTGTTCTGTTCCCCACTCTGTCCCTGGTGGATCCTCTCACCTCCCACACCTCTGGCCTGTACCCTAGCTCTTGTGTGCGTAAATAAATGATCTTTAAAAAAAAATAACTAAACCTAGCATGTTTTTTAGTACTTAATCATCTTAAAAGAAACTGCTGATACATAAAATGCTCTTGGGCCCTATCAAGAACTTCTGGAACCTACATTCTATTCAGCCAATATTTGATGAGTTAATATACTGTTACTAAAGTATATTAACTTACCATAGTGGTAAAAGCAGTTTTGCAGAGTGTCATTCCCACAAAAGAGTGCACAGATGAAAAACAAGTTTATTTTGTAGTTAATTCCCACAACACTTTCAAGTAAAATTTAGTCATTGTAAAATACTATCAACAAAGCAATCCTCACAAGCGAAAGTCTCACAAAATAAAATGTACACTGACTCTCCTGTAATAATAAATCTCCCTGTGCTAGCTTCTATGACCTAAGTTTTTCCATTCTCTAGAACAGTGCCTGATTCCTAAGCTGTGACTTAGGATGGGGAGGTAAGGGACACCCAGAGTTAATTATTATGTATAATTAGTATTATCTGTAGAGTGAAAGTACAACCACTATGCATAGCAATTTATGAATTGTTCAAATGTATAAAGAAGGCTTATTATATATACACATATATAATAGGAAGTCATGTTCTAGAATAAAAAAATACAAGGAAAGGTCAGAGAAAAATAGTTTGAGTCATCATTTTTGAACAGATGAGGAAACCATGTAATAGAAACCAGGGGTTATAGATTAAGTGTGGGTCTTGATAATGTTACAGGTCTCTTCCCCACTGATCATTCATTCATGAAAGGCATTTTAACACATTATTCATTAAGTAGACATTTTCTTTACTTAAAACATCTGTCAGAATATGTTGTGCCCCAAACACGCCCAAAATTTCTCTCCTGCCTGTCTGTACTATTTTATACAGCACTAACACTCATCTCTCATTCTCACCATGTCTGACTTCCTTCTTCCCACTCAACTTGCTAAAATCTTCTTCAGACTTTCATACCAAATGCCATTTGTGGTGATGTCCCAAGGTGCCGCCTGGACTGAATTAATCTCTCTCCCCCTATGCTCTAAGGCACTTTAATACTCACCTACTGTGCTTTCTATTTCTGTTTCTGCCTCCCCCATGAAGTTAGGCACTATGCTTCATTTATCTTTACATTACAAAATGCCACAAATAAATAAGAATTAAATAAGTGTTTGCTGAAGTAAAAAAAAAAAAAAACTCACAGTTATTTTTCTCCTTTTCACCATAGAAACATCCTCTACAACAACTCTTTACAAATTCTGCTGCCATTACATTCAATTTCCAATATCCAGCAAGATATAAACTTTCAATTTTAATATTAACCTGTTGGTAGAACAGAAAACAAGTTAATGATCACACATAAAATAATGCCATTAGATATCTCTAGATCATATTATCTGCCTGAGATGTAATGAGGGCTCCAAAGCAAAAATGGTATAGTAAGTTAGATTTCTGTTCCTATATGCATTTTGTATAACCTAGACTCCTTATAAGTCATTAAAACGACAACTTAAAACTCTGAAAAAAATAGAAAAATTCCACTCTGAATTTTCTTTCACTTGGTATACCTAAATTAATGCCTAAAAACTAAAAGAAAATATGGCATTTTGAAGAGTGTGAGAAAAATTTCACTTCTTCAAATCAATTATTCTGATAATCCAAAGGTCTCATACTACAGACCAACAAACAAATAACTTCATACTTCATGAGTTAGCTTAATCTTTAGAATTACACTAACAGGAAAACATTATCTTAAACACTGACACACACACACACACCAGCTAACACCAGCTAACTAAGCCAGAAATAAGATACAGTAGCAATAAAGGGAGTCTTTTAAATTTACCTGGAACATAAAATTGTCTGAGAACTTCATGGCCACTTCCCAGATTGGCTTCACTAACTACCCCATGCAACAACTAACTCAAAACTTACCACAAATCTATACCTAAGACCTAACACTACAAAACTCCTAGAAGAAAACACAGGAGTAATTCTCTGTAAACTTAGGTTGGGCAATTTCTTAGATATGATACCAAAAGCCCAAGCAATAAATTAAAGTTTTGATATATTACACAATCAAAATTAAAAAGTTTATGTTTCAGAAGACACCATTAAGAAAGTGAAAAGACAATTTAAAGATAGGAGAAAATATGTACAAACCATTAATCCAATAACGTGCTTATATCCAAATATATAAAGGAGTATTGTAATTCAATAATAAGAAAAATTAGACAATTTAAAAAGAGGCAAGATCTATGATATGACACTTCTTCAGAGAAATATTCAAGTGGCCAAAAAAGCACATGGGAACATGTTCAACCCGACCAGTCATTAGGAAAATGCAATTTAAAACTATATAATACTACACAATTAGGAAGAATAAAATTGCAAAGACTAACCATTTCGAGTGTTTACAAGCTTATAGAACAGAGAGAACTCTCCTATTTGACTGGTGTGACTATAAAATGGTTTGACCATTTCTTAAGTTAAACCTACACCTATCATATAATCCAGACATTCTGTTCCTAGGTATTTATTCAAGGTACAAAGTCACACACATGTCTATGCAAAGACGTGTACACTAGTGTTCACAGCAGGTCTATTTGAAATAGCCCAAACCAGGAAACTATGGAATGCTCAACTCCGTATAAAAATTGTGGTGTAGCTATAAAATGGAAAAGTATTCAGTAATAAAGGAATAACCATTGTATAAATTGGTAACTTTCCTCCACTACTGGTAGATTTTCCAGTACTGAAAATTTTTTCATTATCTCTTTAAATAATGCTTTTGCCCAGTCTCTATTTATTTTCTTTCAGAAATTCCTATTTACTATACTTTCTCACCATAACTTCTCACCCTGATCATTCTAATGTCTATGTCTCTTAATCTTTATATTTTCCATTTCTGTTTCTTTGGATCACATGCTGGAATGATTTATTCTAATATAGTCCAGTTCATTCATTCCTCTAGGGGCTTACCTAATTGTCTAAAATGTGGTAAACTCAACTAGTGAGTTTTGAGTTTTATTACTGCATTTTTCATTAACAAGAATTACATTTAGTTCTTTTTTTACAACCAGTTCTGGCTCTCTGGCACCATTTTCAGACTCCTGCTCCCTCCATGTATTTTCAAGCTTTTTCATATATACCGAAATATAGACCATCATAGTTATTTTAATAATCTATGACTGATAATTCCAATATGCAATGATTTGGTAAATTCACTTGTAATTATTGTTTCTGCTGATTCTTGCTTAGATTGTCTTCTTTCTGTATGCACTTGGTTATCTTTGAAAACAAATTATTCACTGATCTTGAAACTTTATCAGTAGGACATTTTTTTAAGCCAATAATAAAAGTATCCTCCTACAGAGAATAGTTATACACCATGCCATTTTAAATTCATGCCTTGACAAATAACCAAATTTAAAAACGGGCAAAGGATATAAACAGATGTTTCTCTACAGGTAGATAAATTGCCAATAAAAAGATGAAATCTAGGAAGGCATTTAAGTGAGTTTTCATCCTTCCCTTGATAGAACTTTGGGATCCTGGATTTGGGAAATGCAAATCAAGCCCACAACGAGATTCTGCTTCACGCACAGTAAGATGGCTATAATCAAGAAAGCAGACAAAACTAAATGTTGGAAAGGATGTAGAGAAACTGGAACCCTCACGCATTAACGGTGGGAATGAAAATGGCACAGCTGCTTTGGGAAAACTTCAACAGAGAATTACCATACAATCCAGGTATCTCTCTCAGGTAAATATACCTAGGAGAATGGAAAATACATTTTCACACAGATGTTCATAGCAGCATTATTCATGATAGGTAAAAAGTAGGCACACCTCAGTAGGCCTCTTTCGTCCATTAACTAATGAATGGAAAAACAAAGTGTTGTACACCAACATCGTGATAAAAAGGAAAGTACAGACTTGTGCTACAATATGTATAAACCTTGAAAACATAATTCTAAGTGAAAGAAGCGAGGCACAAAAGACCACCTATCGTATGATCTCATTCATATGAAATGTCCAGAATAAGCAAATCCATACACAGAGAAAGGAGATCAGTCGTTTTCAGGGGTTGGGAGGAAAGCAGAAATTAGTAACTGCTAAAGGATACAAAATTTCTTGTGGGGGTGATGAAAATGTTTTAGAATAGTAATAATGTTTGCAAAACCTCATAAATATATGAAAAAAAAACACCAAACTTTACACTCTAAAAGGCTAAATCTTATGGTGTGTAGATTATATCTGAAAAAAAATATTATTCATATGATGACATATTTTGAGACCATGAAGGTGATGTGAAGTTCCCCCATGGCCAGGTGATTACCACTTACCAAAGATAAGGCTTCTTTCCCTCCTCTGCTTTACTTGGCATTAAGGCAACTTTCCATGCAGATCTTAGAAGGCGTTTAGGTGAGTTTTCATCCTTCCCATTGACCTTTGGGATCCTGGACTTATAGGCAGAAAGTTTCTTCTTAGTTTAATGTGCATGAGACATGAGCTGACTTCTAATCATGCCCACCCCCACATGCAAATCCACAAGTTCTTATTCAAGTCTCCCTAGTTTAGCATATACTCTCAGAGCAAAGACTTGAAAGTTCCCTTTGTCCCAAATTTTCAGCTTTCTTAGATTGTGACATGTCAATTTCTAAATACCTTTTAAAAATGCTTTTTAACTACAGCTTCCTCAGTTATTTTTAGGGTGAAAAGTTTTCCAAAAACCTTAACTACATTTTCATAATGAAAATCATATAATTAATTTTCAAATTAAAATTAACTCTGAGTTAGGACAGGGTCTACAAAAAATACAGACAGCATGATAAAGTCTGTATGAAAGCAATTTTAGTATTACTTGTGACCTCAGGTGATCACAGTAGATAATTAAGACTTAAATAACACGTTATACTCCAGTGAAGAGTTTATTATTGAAAAAAATTAAACATCAATTTGGGGCTTCCCCAGTGGGGTTAAGACACAAACTATGAAGCTGTCCACAGCCACTGCAGCTCGAGTTTGATCCCCGGCCGGCCAGGGAGCTACCCACATGGCACAGCAGACCTCTCCTGATTTGCCTGCTGCTCCCCTCAGCAGTGTACTTCTGTCAATCTGCCTGTTCTATACCCCTCTGTCTCTGGTGAATCCTCGCACCTTCCCACACCTCTGGCCTGTACCCCAGTTCTTGTATGAATAAATAAATCCTTTTTAAAAAATTATATAAACATCAATTTGAAGGGGAGTCTAGCTTTAAAGGAAACATGGGCAGTTCACTTGCTCTCTTAGGTGTCAAAGGTCTTTATATAACTACATTTTAAAAGGGCTGTGGGAAGGAAACAGACACCACAGAGAGAACAGTACAGAAACATGCACACATATGTGAAAACCTGATGTATAACACTAGAAGACCACTAGAGAAAAAAACAGAATACTCATACATAAATGATGCTGAGAAAAACTGATTACCCATATGGAAAACAATGAAACTGGATTCCCACTTCACATCATGCAAAAATCAAATTTCACATGGATTACGAATATAAATATGAAGGGTGATTTTTAAAATGTTTAAAAGAAAATATCAGACTATATCTTTATGACCTCAGAGAAAAGAAAGATTTGTTAACCAGATGCTAAAGGCATAAATATAAGAAAAAGGCTGACATATTCAACTACATTACTATAGTAGTATCCATCAAAAACTAATACAAAGAAAGTAAAGAGACAAACTAATTCCTGGGAGAAAAGGCATCTGTCACATATGTAACTGACAAGAGATTAACACAAGCAAGGAAACTGAAAGGTGTGCAAGTCTCTCCAAAAACAACAGCCTGGGACCAGATGGTTTTACTAGTGAGTTCTAGCAAACCTTCAAAAAGGAACATCTATCCTTCTCAAACCTTCAAAAACTCAGGGAGGGAATGCTTTCAAACACATTTTATGAAGCCGACGTTACTCTGATACCAAAAGCAAACAAGGACATCACAAAAAAAGAAAACTACAGACCAGTATCACTCATGAACACAGACGCAAAAATCCTCAAGAAAATCTTAGCAAATTGAATTCAATAACACAGATTTATTCCAGGGATGCAAGGATGGTTAACACATGCAAAGCAATCAATGTCATTCACAGTATCATCAAAAGACAAAAATCGTATTGTATCAATAGATAAACAGAAGGCATGTGATAAGATTCAACACCCATTTATGACAAAAACTCTTAGTAAAATGGCAATAGAAGGAACATAGCTAAACATGATAAAGGTCATATATGCCAAGCCCATAGCTAGCATTACACTCAACAATGACAGACTGAAACTTTTTCCTTGAAGATCAGGTACACAAGGATGTCCACTCTCACCACTACTGTTTGACACAGTATCAGGAGCCCTGGCTAGAGCAATCAGGCAAGAGAAAGATATAAAAGGAATCCAAATTGGAAAAGTAAAACTATCACTACTTGAGAATACATGATAATATTATAACATAGAAAACCCTAGACTTATTAGAAACTATTAGAAACAATAAGTCAGAATAGCAAAGTGGCAGGCTACAAAATCAACATACCAAAGGCTACTGCAGTTCTATATGCAATTAATGAAATAGAAGAGAATGAAATCAAGAAAACAATCCTATTTACAGTATCATCAAATGTATTAAATACCTAGGAATAAATCAAACAAAGAAGTTGAAAGACCTATTCAATGAAAACCATAAGACACTTAAAAGAGACAGAAAAAGACACTAATGGAAATATTCTATACTTATGGATAGAAGAATTAACTTTTCAAGATGCCCCTATGTATAGAATCAATGAAATGTATAGAATCAATGAAATCCCTACCAAAATTTGAATGGAATTCTTCAAAGAAATAGAGGAAATGTTACAGAATTTATACAGAACCACAAATAGCCAAAGTAATAGCCACTGAATAGCCAAAGTAATCTTGACAATAAAGAAGAGGAATGGTGGTATCACACTCCTAGACTACAAGGCTATAATAATCAAAAAAATATGGTATTGGAATAAAAATAGAAACACAGATCAATGGAATAGAATCGAATGCCCAGATATAAAATCACTTTTATATGGACAGTTAACCCATGACAAAGGAGCCCAAGGTATATAATGGAAAAAGGAAACTCTCTTCAACAAATGGTGATGGGAACACTGGACCACCACATGCAGAGGAAGGAAACTAGACCACTCCCTCACACCGTGCACAAAAATTAACTCAAATGGATTAAAAGACTTGAAGACTGGAAACCACGGAACACACAGAAGAAAAAAAAGGTGAAACACTCCATGACATTGGCTTCAGGGATATCGCTGGGGACTCATCTCCAATGGCAAAAAGAAAAGCAAAAATGTGAATGGGGCTACATCAAACTAAAAAGCTTCAGTACATCAAGAGAAACTACCATTAAAACCTAAAGACACCCCACGGTTTTGAGAAAATATTTGCATATCACAGATATGTTGAGAGGCTAATAAGCAAGATCTACAAAGAATTCATTTAACTCAACAAAAAGAAAACAAAGAACCCAATCAAAAAATGGGCAGGGCCTCCCCCGTGGCGGGCTGTACGCAGCGCTGTGAAGCTGTCCACAGCCTCTGCAGTGCCCGCTGCAGAGATGCCCACATGGCGAGGCAGACCTCTCCTGTCTCGCCCGCTGCTCCCCTCAGCAGTATGTTTCGTCAGTCTGCCTGTTCTGTTCCCCGCTCTGTCTCTGGTGAATCCTCTCACCCTCCTGCACATCTGGCCTGTACCCGGGTTCTTGTATAAATAAATCAATCTTTAAAAAAAAAAAGGGCAGAAGAGCTAAATGGGGAGACCTTCTCCAAAGGCACGTGGAAAATGTTCAACATCACTTATCAATGAGATGCAAATCAAAACCACAATGAGACACCACCTCACTCCCGTGAGAACGGCCCACATCAAAAACAAACAAACAAATGTTGGCAAGAATGTGGAGAAAAAGAAATACAGTTCAAACAAAACCAAAGACTACCAAAAAAAAAGCAAATTGTGGAATAGACAAACCTGAATAATGCATTATCTAGGAATATAAGAGTATAATAAAACTGTACAGAAAATCAAGGAGTATGGAAAGTGTGCAACACAATCAAGGCTGCAAAAATACTGATTAGTATTTGTAAAGCATGACAGGGGCATTTATTTTACGTGTATTCTCTAATCTGTAAATGTGTCAAAAGTAGTACTTTGCATATCTGAAACAACTTTTAATTTAAAAATTAAGTAAATACATGACTGTGATGAAAAATACAGGAGAAAATGATAAAAAAATAAGAATTATCAATAATACCGGAGATAACTACAGTATTTAAATTAAAAATATATTTAAATAGTGTATTTTCTTTACATCTTTATTGAAGTATATTTGCATTATGGTCAATTGCATATATTTAAAATATGTACTTGAGTTAGACATATGTTTACACTGGGGAAAGAATCTTCACAACCAAGACAACAAACACATCCATCATCCCCCAGAATTTCCTCATACCTATTTTTTAATCCATTTCTCCTCACTTTCCTTTGCCCCCACCCCTGTGTAACCACTGGTCTGTTTTCTGTTACTCTTGACTAAGTTTGCATTTTCTAGAATTTTGTGAGGCACAGCTTCGGCTCCTCCGGCGGCCTTGGGGCCAGCTCTACCTCTCAAATTCTGTTCCCCGTCCCAGGCCTTCCTGTCTTCATACTCCACTCAAATAATTTCTTCCACTCTCACAGGATGAACCACCACAAATCCACAGACGCTTCCAGTATCTCCCACCCTGATCCCGACTTCAGAAAAACCTGCTATAACAGACCCAAGTGCCCACGAGACAGCTCGGGCCAGGTGTCCTCCAAGGAGCGGGAGCTCATTTTCTCTTAACCTGAATTAGACTCTCAACCTGTTGGTTTGACTTGTGAATACACAATTACAATTCAAGTGGAGGCAATAAAATACACACCCCGCAAATATTTTTTCTTGAAAGATTAAAAAAAGGAAATTTTCATGAGGACTTTCTGTCCACTAATGAGGGAACTCATAACCATAAGCAAAAACAACAAAAAAACCCCACAAAATACGAGGACAAAAAGCAAGTCCCCTGGAATCCCAGTTCTCACAAGCAAGCAGAGTCAGTTTGGGGGTGGGGGGGGAGCTTTTCAAGCCCGGCAGAGGCAGGATCACACACGGCGTGGGTACCGGGGGTGCTGCTGTTAAGTCTCCGTGTTTCCCAGACTTTCCCACCGTATGAATCAGGAAAAACACGACTCTGTTAACTGCCTACCCGGAGTGAGAATGAGCAAATCATTTTAAATAAAAAAACAAGCTTTCACAGCTGCATTTCACATATTATAAAGGTTCTGATCCTGCACCTGGCGGACGCCGACCCGACCCGGGGCGCGGCGCCCACAAGCGCGCAGAGGCCCCCCCGCAGCTGCAGCAGCCCCGGGGGTCACGCAACTGGGGGACGAATCTGAATGGGGGGTGGAGGGATCAGGGACAGAACACGGGGGTGGGAGCTGTGTGGGGCCGATAACCAAGGTGAAAGCGCAAGTATTGTGCAAAAATGAGAAATGATGTAAAAACATGGAAAAGAAAAGAAAAAGAAAAAGAAAACCGAGCTGGGGGTCACTCGTGTTTTGCAGACACCACAGGGGAGCGACCTCCTGGCAGCTCCCCGCCCCTTCCAAAAGTTTCGGAAACAAAAGCGCAACCTGCGGGGTCCGCCGCCCCCCCAAGCCCGGCCCCCGCCCCCAGTCCCCGGAGCCCCGCCCCGCCCCACGGCGCCCGACCGCGAGCCCGGCGAGCACCGCGGGGACCTGCGCCCCCTGCGCCCCCACCCGGCGCCCCCGCCCGCGCGCGCCCCCCGGCGCCCCCGCCCCGCGCGCCCCCCCCGGCGCCCCCGCCCCGCGCGCCCCCCCCGGCGCCCCCGCCCCGCGCGTCCCCCCGGCGCCCCCGCCCCGCCCCCGCGCGTCACGGCGCTCCAGGCCCGGCGGGCGCGGCGGCCGTCGGGGCTCGGGGCTCGGGGCTCGGCGCGGGGGGTGCGGGGGCCGCGGGGGGCCGCGGGGAGCCGGCTCCGCAGCCGCCGCGACGTTACCACCACAGCGAAGTTCCCGACACGGAGACGAGGACGGCGCAGGGCAGCCCCCCGCGCCCGCCCGCCTCGCGCCCCCCCTCCGCCTCGCGCTCCCCCCCCCCGCCTCACACCCCGCCTCACCCCCGCCGGCCCCGCACCCCGCCCCCCCCGCCGGAGCCCGGCAGCGGCCGCTCGAGGCCCACGCCGCGCCGCACGCGGGGCCAGCACCCCGGCCGCGCCCCGCCCCGCCCCGCCCCGCCGCGGCCCGGGTCCCCGCCCCACGGCGCGCTGAGGAGAAGACGCGGCCGGTTACCTGCTCGGGGCCGCGGGCTCTGCCGTCGCGGGAGGCGCGACGGGTCACCTCGAAGCCCCGCGCGCGAGGCCCCGCCCCTCGGGCCGCCCCGCCCCGCCCCGCGGCAGGTTCGCCCCGCCCCCTCGGGCACGCCCCGCCCCACGGAAGGTTCGCCCCGCCCTGCGGCAGGTTCACCCCGCCCCCCGGTAGGTTTTTCCCGCCCCGCGGCAGGTTCGCCCCGCCCCCCGGTAGGTTTTTCCCGCCCCGCGGCAGGTTCGCCCCGCCCCTCGGGGGGAGCGCGCGGAGGGCGGGGCGGGGTCCTCCGCCCGCACCCGACGCCGCGCGCCTGCGCCCTGGGCTCCCGCCGCCCGCCCGCCCGGCAGGTCGCACCCGGCTCCGCGCGCCCCGAGCGCCAGGCAGAGTGGGCGGCCCGGGGGGCGGGGCGGGGGAGGGAGCCGAGCTGGGCGCCGCCGGCCGCGGGCGTGGCGTGGCGGGCAGCTCCCCGCGAGGGGTTGCCACCCCGGGCCGCGGAGTCCCCGCCGCCGCCTTTGTGGCCCCGCGAGCGCGTGTCCCCGCGGCCCGGGGCGCCGCGGCCCGATCGCTTCACGTTCGTGGCTTCGGTTCCGCCTTCCCGCCTCGCGGCCTGGGCAGGCATCCCGCGGGGCCCCGCGACGGCCCGCCCCGCCCCGCCCGCCCGCCCGCCGGTCTCCCCGTTTCCTTCGCGCCTCGCGCGCCGGGGGCCGCCTGCCCCCCCCCGGGAGCGGGACGCGCGGCGGGTCGTCAGCTGAAGCGAGGCGAGGCCTCTTCCCGGAAGGGGCCTCCCTGAAGAGAACGCTGCGCCCCCCAAGCGCTGGAGCCGCGTGGGAGGGGTGTGGACCCCCAAACCGAGTCAGTGTGGGGCGGGGCGGGGCGCCGCGCACGCGGCCGTCGAGCCCCGGCGTTCCTGCGCGTCCCCCGCTTCCCAAACTGGCGCGGCCTGACGGGCGGCGAACGCTTCCTCCGTGACGGGAGAGTTATTCGCCTTCGAGACACTTGAGAAACGGGTGCTTGAAAGAAACAGAAGCAAGAGGAGCTCTCCGGCCCGTTCTCTGCCCGGAGCAGATCAAGCCTCCGTGTGAGAGATCCGCTCCCAGCCAGGACGAGGGAAACCCAGCAGAGCTCGGTTCAGCTGCCCCTGACCGTCCCGCTCGTTTCTCCACCCCCTGGCCGCAGCCCCGCACTCCCCTTTGTCTGACTTAGCACACAAGCACCCCCAGCTGCGGCTGCGGATCTTCATTCCCCAGGGGCTCTCCCGTGGGCGTGGAAAAGTCTGTGTGCTTTGCACCTGTTAAGCTGTTTAATCAGTTGATCCTCAGTCACATCCACACATCCTAAGAGGGGACAGGTAAAATTTTGTCTCCCCTACAAACCACACAACCTCCTCCATGCACAACACCTGTTACCTTCTCGAGCATTAGTGTTTCTGCTCACACTTTGATGAACACTGCTTTAAAGTCCTAGTACATTCACCTGCAATAACGTCACTATTACAAATATTTGCAAAGTTCTGTAGTGTTTGCACAAAGTTGCACGAGTCATCTCATGTAATACTCACTTGCAATGTAACTGTTATTATTGAGGGTCAAATAAATAGTAACTGGCCAATATAGAGTCACGATGGAGTCCAAGGCTTTTTAAACCTATAATATTTATATATTTTACATATACAAATACAAAGGGGCTCTAAGGATCTCACATAAAAAATTTACATATATGATATAGTCTCTGTAGATCTATTCTTTATATCTCCATATAAAATGTAGATATTACATAGATAGATATATAGATGTATGTTATGCATAGACAAAGAGAGAAATTCTTTCTCGTTTGACCCTCAGCTAGAGTTCATCCTTGGTTAGACAGCTCCAGATTCTCGTGCTAGTTCTCAGGGCAAGGATCTTTATCCATCTTTTACTCCCTTGCAGCACCTGACATCACAGAGCAGAGCACAAAAGTGTCATTTTGATGAGTGAATGAATGAATGTGTCAGTGCTCCTTAGTATTTTTTTTTTTAAGATTTATTTATTTATTTATACAAGCACTAGGTACAGTCAGAAACGCGGGAGGGTGAGAGAATTCACCAGCGCCAGAGCTGGGAATAGAACAGGCAGAGTGACAAAATACGCTGCTGAGGGGAGCAGCCGGCGCAGCAGGAGAGGTCTATGCGCCATGTGGGACCCTCGCCTGTGGCCTGGGAACGAACCAGCGCTGCAGAGGCTGCGGGCAGCTTCACAGCCCAGCGCTCAACCACTGAGCCACCAGGGGAGGCCCCTTAGTATTTTTGAAAAGAACTGAGTACTTGGGTCTCAGGCTGAAAAACCTTAACAGACTGCTCACTGATGAGGAAGAATTCAAGAGGAAGAGCTGATAAGTTTCCTTCCATCTGAAAAACTTCCTTAAAAGAATCCTTTGGCAGACACAGTTCTTTGAAAACCATGAAACCATGTTCTTTGTTTTCCTTGAAATGAGCCTCCTTCCTGTTCTACCCTCAAAGGCAGGACTACTTCAAGATGAATGGAGGGTATTTACCTTTCTTCATGCCCTAGTGCTTAACCTATTCCCACAAAATGATTGTCATAACATTCTGAGTGGAGTTGTGTGGGTTGCTTCCTTTTTAATGTAAGCATGAATGTTTTTAATGTCATTATTTGAGGTAGGTCTGGGGGAAAATCATTTTCTGTGGATGTGGATAATGCAGCTGCTTAAATTTTTCCGTGTGTATGAATTCTTTCATTTGATAGACAGCAATCACTTACCCTCCTCCTAATCTCTTTTCATTCTTTGCTCATTTAGTGTGACTTATGAGGACTTTATGACTCAGTCCAGCCCTACCTCTCCCGCCTCATCCCCCACATGTTTTTGACCTTCTGAATTATTTGTAGTTTCTAATAAGCTAATTGACACTACTTTTTTCCGTTACCCCTTTCTTACAGCTATCAGTTGGAAATTTCATGTTCAGTCAACAGAAGTATTGCCTCTCGTGGGAAATAAAACTCCACAACACCCACCCATAGAGAGAATCCAGAGCTCTTTGTCAGCATTCCCACCATTACCCATTCATTCATAGTTCTATTGTGGCACCTACACAATAACTGAGTGTTGGCTTCTTTTCCCTCTTCCTATAAAACTCATTCCTTGTGAGTTACCAAAGGGCAGGAATTATGACCTCCATTGTTTTTTGAGCATACTCGTACCACCTCACACTTGGAAGAATGTCAAACCCTTATCAAATGAATGAAAACTCTTCAAAAGAATATGAATTCCTAGCATACTTGTGAAATCATAAATAGAAATGGTCCTATGAGTCCAGTGGGGGTAGATTTATTGCCCATTCTGACCCTACAAGTCCACCTGCATGGGGGCTTTATGGAAGTTAATTGGTGACTTTTCTCTGAATCCTTGAATCTTACTTTCAGACCTTTATTTCCCTGGTCTCCCCCACAATTCTGTAAGATCTTGTTACGTCAATAATACCCAAGCGGTTCTGCTTCCCTGACTCAGATCACCTTGCACATACTTGGCTGCCCAACAGGAAAATAACGTGGATGGTAATTTTCTTCCCTGCCACAATTAAAGGCAAAGTGCTGAGATGAACTATATAGGAACTACAGAAATCCAGGTTAAAATTACCCCACTAGAGAGGTCTCCCCAAACGAAGGTTATTAGTTAGTTGCCCACTGCCTTTATAGTGTGAATTTGCAAGAGTATGGGAAATGCCTTTAAGCTTTCTACACTTAGAAATTTTCTCCTTTTCCACCTTGGCATTGAAGCTAAACTCCCTTGAAGAAGTCAGGCTCGCTAGAGAATGAAGCAGGTAATACGGTGCCTGTTAACAAACTGGAAATAGAATTGTCACAGAGCACAAGCATCCATCTCTCATGGTCAAACAGCCACACAGAAAACTCAAGGTAAATCAAAAGGTTGCCGGGGAGGACGCTGGAACCA